ATATATGTACATCCTTAATTTTGTTACCCTTAAAATAAAAAACAGTCTTTCGTTCCTCAATATCCTCCTATCTATACAATACCTGGCACACTTGCCTCATTTCCCATTTATACTTATCTCCTATTAAATCCTATAGCACTGACAATGTGGTTAAACATACAGATTTTCCTTCTCTCTTTCTGATTTATAGTGAAGTGGGTGATAGGGAAATGTGAGGTCCCTAGAGCTACACACAGACATCGGTGAGACAGGTATTCTATATCAGATGGAGAGAGCAGGCTTCTCACTAGTGAGTGAGGCCATGGTGTGGCATTCTGCTTCCCTCATTACCCTTCTTTCCACGCAGTTTCCATTCCCAGCACTGGGGGTGGGACAGGAGTGTGCAGCAAAGCAGAAAGTACACAGTACTCAAGGGAAAGAGCCACATAAAAAAACAGTGGGGTGGATTACAGAATGCTACAGCTAGGAGGGCCCTAATGGCACATCTAATTCAAACCTCTACAGATACAGACAGGAGCCCAGAAAAGTGATGTGTCCAAAGGCACACAGCTGGTGGCTGGAACCAGAACCTGAGTCAACAGCACACTTTTCTCTGATCCTCCAATACATGACAGAACTAAGTATACGAAAGAGCAAAATTTAGAATTCAGTTCATGAACAAACCCCAGCCCGCCCCACCCCCACTAAACAAATAAACATACCTCCTTTAAAATTATCCATGTTTCAGTCTCATTCCTTTTCAGCCCCCTGTAGCTTACTAAGCTCAAAATTCTGTTTCTTACCCAGGACTTTAACTAGATACTCTTGTGGCCTGAGTGGCCAGAATCTCAACTCTGCCCTGGCATGTCGCAGCCTGAGAAGGGAGATCTTCAGGAAGCAGAAGTAGGGGCTGGGCGTGGTGGCTCATGCCTGTAATTCCAGCACTCTGGGAGGCCGACGTGGGTGGATCACTTGAGGTCAGGAGTTCGAGACCAGCCTGACCAACATGGCGAAACCCCGTCTCTACTAAAAATACCAAAATGAGCCAGGCCTGGGGGCATGCGCCTGTAATCCCTGCTACTCGGGAGGCTGAGGCAGGAGAATCACTTAAACCCAGGAGGAGGCAGAGGTTGCAGTGAGCCAAGATTGCACCACTGCATTCCAGTCTGGGAGACATGAGTAAAACTCTCAAAAAAAAAAAAAAAAAAAGCAGCAGAAGTAGACCTGATATATTTCAACTCAGGAATATTCTGAATCCATACATCATGCTTATAATACTGCCTGTAAATGCAGCAGCTTTTGAAGCTTATGCTGGGAGAAAGACAACAGGCTACCCATCCAGCAAGAAAGAAAAATTCAGGAATAACAAATAAGGAGGCTAGGCCGGGCGCGGTGGCTCAAGCCTTTAATCCCAGCACGGTGGGATGCCGAGGCGGGTGGATCACGAGGTCAAGAGATCGAGACCATCCTGGTCAACATGTTGAAACCCCATCTCTACTCAAAATACAAAAAATTAGCTGAGCATGGTGGTGTGTGCCTGTAATCCCAGCTACTCAGGAGGCTGAGGCAGGAGAATTGCCTGAACCCAGGAGGTGGAGGTTGCGGTGAGCCGAGATCACGCTATTGCACTCCAGCCTGGGTAACAAGAGAAAAACTCCGTCTCAAAAAAAAAAAAAAAAAGGAGGCTAGAGGGAGGGAAAATGCTTTGGGTTCAGTCTGGAGGGTATGACATTATCTCCATTCAGTCACAGCACAGAAGGACCAGTTATCCAGTTTCCAGGGGCCTCCAACGACAGCTGGCCACAGACAAAGCTAGTTAGAAAAAAAATCAATGGTCTAATGTACTTCTCACTTTTCCAAATAACATGTTAGCATTTAAGCAAGGCCTTGGGTCCTCAAACAAAGGGAGTGACTAACACATCTCCTAGCAGGCTGCTGGAATAGGTACTTTGGAACACATGGGCTGTGTGGCTGCACGTCATCCCTGCTCCACCGCCTGATGCAAAACTGCTCCAGGACTGGGACTGCCAGAAGGTGCTGGGTTCTTGCATGAGGGGCATCTTGGTGAAGGCCTGAAATTATAGCTGAATTCCAAAACCAAAATATTTGGGAGACTGGGCACAGTGGCTCATAACTGTAAAACCAGTATTTTGGGAAGCTAAGGTGAGAGGACTGTTTGAGGCCAGGAGTTTGAGACCAGCCTGTGCAACAAAGCAAGACCCTATCTCAACAAAAAAATTTTTTAAATTAGGCTGGGCGAGGTGGCTCATGCCTGTAATCCCAGCACTTTGGGAGGCTGAGGAGGGTGGATTGCCTGAGGTCAGGATTTCAAGACCAGTCTGGTCAACATGGTAAAATCCTGTCTCTACTAAAAATACAAAAAAATTAGCCAGGTGTGGTGATGTGAGCCTGTAATCCCAGTTACTTGGGAGGCTGAGGCAGGTGAATTGCTTGAATCAAGGAGGTGGAGGTTGCAGTGAGCTGAGATTGTGCCACTGCACTCCAGCCTGGGCCACAGAGTGAAACTCCATCTCTAAATAAATAAGTAAATAATGTAGCTGGGCACAGTGTTGCAAACCTGTAGTCCCAGCTACTTGGGAAGCTGAGATGGGAGACTGCTTGAGCCCTGGAGGTGGAAGCAGCAGTAAGCCATCATTGTACCATTGTACTCCAGTCTGGAGTGAGACCCTGTCAAAAAAAGTACTGGAGGTATTATGTATTATTTTTATGTTATTCAGATCAATCATTAGTTAATCAAAACAAGAATCATTCTTATACCTGCTTTTAGTTTCCCTCTTCCAACAAAAACTGTCGCTGTATTCCTGAAGGGATTAGGTACTCTTGAAAAATAACCATCTTATAATAAACATAAAAGACCAGGAAAAAAAGATTTAAAGTACATAATAATTAGTAAACTAGCAAACTGAGAAAATATCTCCTTTAAAAGAAAAAAAAAGGATACTCCTTATAAGGCTGAGACATAAGGAAGGGGGGAAAAGGAAGAAAGGATAAATAAATGAACGGGAAACTGAGCAGCAGGGTAAACTAAGAACTTACAGTCAAATGCTAGGGCCCCAAACTAACAGGCAGAATAGGAAGGTGAACAAAACCTCTTTCTGCCTGCTGGATTCTGAAGAGTCTAAAATGCAGGATTAAAATGGCTTTATTTCAACAGAACGCATTTTGTCATCTGATCTCTATTCGTGACACGGATAAAAATAAGTAACTTCTGGCCGTGCTCTTAAGCAGTAACAAATCCCTGAATATTGAGCCTCATTCACTTTGGGATGGCAATCACTAATTGTTTATGTAGCAGGGAAAAAACATCTGCCTATAGCCTTTATTTTAAAGTTTAAATTTTTATTTTTTTACCTTTTTTTACATTTTTATTTTAAAATAAATATAAACAGTGTTTCCAAAAAACATTGATTACAAGGGGGAAATGAGGCAATAAGGATGGAAGATGGGAAGGACTAAAGAAGCGATGCTGAACCTGCAAACACAATGACCAGGGAGCATGCAGAGAGGCCCTTGCTGTGACACTGTCCTCTCACTGCTACTCACAGGAAGCTCAGTGACTATGCCAGGACACTGGAGCTGATGGGTCAAAGAGAAGCATTCCATTCCTACGAAAGGTGATGTCAATTTGTACTCAACCCCAGCAATGTTGAATCCCCCTCTTCACAATCCAATTCTAAGCTTCTAAAGAAATTACCAAAGATACAGCCAAAGAGATATACACAAGAAACTTTATCACATCATTATTGATAATAAAAGGTCTGAAACAACCAAAATTTTCAACAGTGTGGGGATGGGTAAGGTAGAACCACTAGAAATCTATTTTCAAATATTTAAAGATATAGGAAGTTACTTATGACACCACATTAATCAGTGAGAGGGTAAAGTTAGGATACTGACCTATATATATATATATGTATGACCTTCAATTTTGTTTAAATATTATACACCTTATATGCATTTTTGAATGCTGAAAGGAAATTCATAACTATATCAGCAAAGTTTAGCTCTGTTCTAGATAAAAGACGGTTGATTTTTACTCTTTGTTTAGACTATTCTGTAATGAGCATTGTTACTTTTATATCAGAAAAATAGCCATTTACCAAAAAATAAGTCTACCCTAAAATCTCTCATTTAAGATGACAATTGTCAGTCTTAGGAAAAGCCTGCTAAAGTTCAAGACAGACTCAAAGAAGATTCAAATCTACACAGTAACTCTCTTCTGAAAAGGATATGAAATCTTGTGTGATACAATCTGGTTTTTTCCTCTACTTTGCTGCTGACTCTGTTTTACTGTGCCTCGTAGAAAGCTCGATGGGAGAAGCCATTCTCTCTTCCACTGCACCTTAATGAACTTAAGTGTTTCTCATCTCTTAGCATGAGGATTAGAAGGAAAGAAAATGAAACAGCCCTACTCTCGATTCAAAGGAAATTTTTTTCTTGCAAATCTATCAAAATGACTCAAAATCAGGTATGCAAAATTTGACACATAAGTCATGAGTTATGTTCAGTAACCCGTCACTTTTTTCTCAAGAATGAATATAAAAACAAATCTATGAATGCCCTCTTGTGGCAAGCCTAACTATTACCACAAGCCCTGTACCAGCCTCTCCCCATCTATTTCCATGGCTCTCCTCCCCACTCCTGGGCTCTGGATAACACAGCCAGGAGGCAGAGCCCCATCATAACCCAGTACAGTGAATGCACATTCATCAAAGTGGCTGGTACTATTTGTTTTCAAGGATTTCTAGTTTAGATCCCAGAAATGCCCGCTTGAAAACAAGTGGGAATGAAGGGTCAGAGGAGTAAGATGCGGGATATGCACGTGGGTTCATGGGTTGCTATTATTGATGGCCAATGGTGACTGTGTTTGGTATAGGCACGCACAAGTACCATGGCACTACCAGGAGGCAGGGACCTGCAGGATGAACATCCCCTCCCCCAAGAATGCTTACTAATTTTATGAAGTCATGAAGTTTTACATTTACATCCAGTGAGCCTTATGCTTACAAGTAGTTTTATTTATCAATTTTAGAGCAAACATTGCCAACTTGGGCACAATTCCAAAATAGAGCTCTTGTTGGATTCTGGTCATAAAATTATTTTGTAAGCTTGTTAAGATCTTATAAAATAAGAAAGTTTTCCTAACACTTTAAAAAAATACTAATAATTAATAAGTTGATTTTATACTCAAAGTGATGGCCTAACATTTTGAAAGATGAAACAACACTCCTCTTTTGAACATCTAATATATCAAGTAATCTCAGTGTCCCAGGCTACCGAGGAGACAGAGAAGTCCTCACACTGCAACCTAACTAGATGACTCTGGGAGTGAATTAAATGCTTAAAAGAGGCCAATCTTGCAAATTTAATGGAACAAAATATAGGGGAACTGTTACTGACTCAGATAAAAGAAAATATTCCTCTCAGAAAGGGATGAAGCTAAATCTTGCAGTTTGAGGGCAGGAGGAGTGCAACAAGCAGGCAATAAACAGCATGAAAGGAAAAACTGGGCGAATTTCAAAGTTCTACTGGAGTTTGTGGTTCTTTCTGCTCCACCCAAGTCAAAGGCTCATTTCCAGAAAAGGATTTCTCACAGTTATAGGGTGGAAACACATGGCAGGAAGTTGCTGTTTGGTCCTGGATATGTAAAAGGGAAGCCTTTTCAAGTATGTGAAGTAGACTGAAGTGACGCAGATGAGATGGATCCCAACTACATGAGTTACAGGACAGCACGAAGCCAAAGAAATGATAATTATGAGGTTGAATTGGGAAAATAAATTTGACTTCTTGTTTACCTCCCCAGCCTGTGGAAGAACTTTCTCCCCTCCTAATAGGACCAATATACTGGACAGCCCCTGATAGAGATAAACTGAGGCACTAGATGAGGAAGAAATGCATTAAAAACATTTTTTGAAAGTCCTGACAAGTCACTTCCGGAAGATTTCAACGGAGAGTAAAAATAAGGGCAAAGGCCTCTCTTGTCCACAAAAGTAAGAGAGGAAAAAAGACCCTGCCCATTTAAAATCCAAAATTATAAGCTCTCCTTCAAACACTATCCTTGCTCCACCAGAAGCATCCTGGGATCATTCTAAGTTAGTATTCTGAGTTGTGTCACCTAGGCGCTGACAATTAATGGTGTATTAAAATGGGAAGAGGTGACTCTTCGACCTTGGCTCCAGTTTCCCACCTGTCCTAACTGGGAGGAAAGCAGCTATCATGACAGCTTGATGGGAAGATCTTCCCCGAATTTCCGAAGCAGCTTCTGATGATTATGGTCTACTGACCACTGCTGGGGCAGGTGCTTGGGCTGCATAGAGTCCAGGAAGTGCTGACGCCAGCGGCTCTCCAGCTGCATGAGGGCACGCAGCCCACCCTGGCTGTGACACTGCACCACCTTCAGCCCATGAGGAACATAGTTTTCATTGGAGATTCTGCCAAGACATGAAAAACAAAAGGTCTGAGGGAAACAAGCACAGGATGGTCTCAGAGACAGCTTCAAATGCTGCAGGCCAAGGGTAAACAAGGAGGTTAAAGGACTCCTAAAGGGTGCGTTACTTTGGTGTTTTCGAAACATTCTTTTGTTGTTGTTGTTGAGATGGAGTCTTGCTCAGCTGCCCAGTCTGGAGTGCAATGTTCTTGGCTCACTGCAACCTCGACCTTTCAGGTTCAAGAGATTCTCCTGCCTCAGCCTCCCGAGTAGCTGGGATTACAGGTGCACAACATCTGGCTAACTTTTTTTTTATTTTTAGTAGAGACAGGGTTTCACCATGTTAGCCAGGCTGGTCTCGAACTTCTGACCTCAGGTGATCTGCCCACCTCAGCCTCCTAAAGTGCTGGGATTACAGGTGTGAGCCACCACACCCGGTGAAACATCCTCTTTCTTATCTCTGCCCTTGTGTATAGTCCTAACACAGGACTCTCAACCCCAACAGAAGGTATTTGAGGGTTCTGAGCTCTACTGAGAGAAGGCCACTGCATAAAGTTTGGCCCCCACTAGAGGGGCCCTACCGTCCAGCTGATGATAATGGATGATAATGCTGGTCTTTCATTCATAGTGCATCATTTCATTCATAATGCTGGTCAATTCTTCCAGGATTACTCAGGGACCAGCTCACCCCTCTTTTAAGTTTTTCATTCTGAGACACAGTATTTATATGAGGCTGTTAAATCTTCCCATGTTTCACTTTTTCACAACACAGTTTAATAACTGAATGCAAAATGCAAGGTAGCATACTTCTTTAGAGCCATCTTTCTCACAAAAAGATGCCAAGCTACAGTGGTGAGAAGTGTTTCGGTCACAGTTAAATGCTACCATGGTTGCTCAGTAGTGCAAATGGTGCCATGAAATAAGAAGACAAATCCCTCCCTCCCTCCTAAGCAGAGAGTCCTTAAAAACTGCTGTGATACAATGTGAATGGTGCTTTCACCTCTTGTGAATAAAGATGACCTTCCACAAGGAAGTACCCTGGCTATACACACTCTCCTCTCCCTACATCCATACCCCACTTTCAATCCTCCCTCCCAAGATGCCCACCACCCCAGTAGTGTTGGTGCCTCTGGGTATCTGCAGATACTTTATTATTAATATTTAGTACATGCGCTTCCTACTAACTTGCCTGCCTCCAAACAGCTGTTCTCAGTCACAAGTCCAGCATTTATCTATCCAATTCAGCAAGACAAATTTGTTAGAAAAGTCTGTGGCTGAAAGGGGAGGTTTAGCTGCTTCAGAAAACATATTGGCAGCCTGGCGTGGTGGCTCACGCCTGTAATGCCAGCACTTTGGGAGGCCAAGTTGGGAAGATCACTTGAGGTCAGAAGTTCGAGACCAGCCTGGCCAATGAGGTAAAACCCTGTCTCTACTAAAAATATGAAAATTAGCCAGGCGTGGTGGCACACACCTGTAATCCCAGCTATTGGGGTGGCTGAGGCAGGAGAATCGCTTGAACCCAGGAAATGGAGGTTGTAGTGAGCCAACGTCATGCTATTGCATTCCAGCCTAGGTGGCAACAGAGTGAGACTGTCCCCCCAAAAAAAAAAAAGAAAAGAAAAGAAAACATATTTGGAAATGGGTCGAAGTAGCCATGTCTCTCTAATTTGTAACATATATGATCTTGGCAAGTTACTTAACTCTAACCTCTGGGTAGCCAATAAAAAAATGTACAAAACATCTATTCTACGACCTCAGAAAACAGTTATGGGGATAAAATTCTTTTAAAACTCTGAAATTTTTTTTTAATGTAAGATATAATAGTAGCAGTTAACCAGTAAGAAATCTAAATCCTACTTTGTCAGGTTGTCATGAGAAAATTAAGGCAATTTATGTGAAGTTTATTAGCTTGCTTGCTGCAAGATGTAGTACATCTATAAATATCTGTTCAGTAAATATTTGCAGTATCTGTAATGGATCAGTAGCATGAGTGAAAAAAATTTTCATTTTTCAAAAAAACGAAGTATTGGCTGTTATAATCACTTTTTTATTTTTTAGTTAACAAAAATCCTACAGGCAACCAGCATCACTTTCATGATTTGTGAACTTATTATCAGTTTCCTTATTTCAACTTCTAGTCCTTTTAGAAAAAGTGACAGCTGGGAGGCAGAACCGTGCACGGTAGCCCAGAGTTCTTATATCTGAGCCATGTGGCCATTCATTTCTCATTTCGGAACACTGCATTATGTCACATGAATTCAACTATGTACTCATGGAGAAGGAGGGAGAAAGGAAGGAAGGAAAAAAGAGGAAAGAAATTTAAATAGTAACAGCAATTCTGCTCAACATCTATTTAGTGGGCTGATACCCTGGAGTACAGGTGAGATAAGAACTATGAATTCATTAGTCACAGTTCTCACAGACCTGTATAATGTCAGAGACACAAAACCACATATATAGTTGGCCCTCCATCTTTGTGGGTTCTGCATCTGTGGATTCAAACAATCTCAGATCAAAATGATTTGGGGCCAGGCACAGTGGCTCATGCCTGTAATCCCTGTTCTTTGGGAGGCGAAGGCAGGTGGATTGCTTGAGGTCAGGAATTCGAGACCAGCCTGGGCAGCCTAGTGAAACCTCATCTCTACAAAAAATACAAACATTAGCTGGGTGTGGTGGCCATGCCTGTAGTTCCATCTACTTGGGAGGCTGAGGTGAGAGGATCAGTTGAGCCTGGGAGGCAGAAGTTACAGCGAGCCAGGCTAGTGACACCGCACTCCAGCCTGGGTGACAGAGCCATATACTATGTCAAAAGAAAAACCTATTTGGAAAAAAAAATCTGTACTATCTGTACTGAACATATACAAACTTTTTTCTAATCATCACTTCATAAACAATTTACAAAAACTACTTACATAGCATTTGCATTGTATTAGGTATTATAAGTAATTTAGTGATTTAAGTATTCAGGAGGATGTGTGTAGGATACATGCAAATGCTATGCCATTGTACATCAGGCACTTAAGCACTGGTAGATTTTGGTATCCAAGGGAGGTCCTGGAACCATGGATAACCCCATGGATACTGAAAGGAATTCAGAGCTTTGAGGGTATTATTGGACTATTTTTTCATCCCATGTGCTGGCATGAGGATTTATGTCTGCATAGAATGTGTAAGATGCAGCTCCATCACAACTGCACTCTCATGCTAATCATGAAAATGACCGAACTTAAGTGTATGATCTTAAAAAAGCTCAAAGAGGCACCTCACAAAAAGCAAATTTCCTATAAAAAGGAAATCATCAAGTAGATTGTTCTATTCCATTCCCAAGGCATCTTCAACTGCTAGACACCTACTAGGCGAAGCATGAGGTGCACTGCACCTAAGCAGCTGATGCCCCCTCCCTGGCAAGCAATCTTACTAAGCAGTGACGGTTAATGTCCCTGGTACATCCCATAATCCCTTCTCTGAGCAGAACTGTGTGTTGTACCTCGTCTCCAGGCTGGCAGCCTCTTGAAGCATCTCCTCTGTGACCACATCTGTGTTGTAAAACTCTCTGAGTGCTTGCAGCAGCTCCTCCTTTCGATGAGCAGGCAGGCTCTCGGCATTGAGCAGGGCCCTGGCCCCAGAACGCACCTGCCGGCGCTCTGGATCTTCCAGCAGGCGCAATCCCTCCTCAGAGCCGATGGGGGCCTGGAACTCCTTGGCCAGCTGCTGCTTCAGATGGTTGTCATAGTAGTTGGAAATGGCATGGCAGGAGGTGCAGAGCAGCAGCACATCATGGGAGTTGTGGTCCTTCATCTCGATGGGGAAGTGCTTCCGGTACTCATGCGGAATCACGTTCTTCCTGGAACAAGCCCAGCCAGAAAGCAGTGCTCACAAGTGTATGACCGAGCACATAGGAAGACAGCAAAGAGGCTACTGGGGTTCTAATCGGGGCCTAAGTATGACTAGGAAGCGTTGGGTACCACAGCCCAACAGAGATCACAGAAAGGCACTATCACCTATTCCACTCTCAGCCCATCCTGTGTCTCAGCTTCCTCTCTCCTGCAAGGAAGTACAGACCACCTGCTGTGGGCTTCAGTGGAGGCCCAGTGTACTGAGAGGTTAATAACAACCTCTGAGAAGGCTGTGCTCCCAGAAGGGAAAATCTCAGAAAACTGAAAAGATACTCTAATGGGCTTTGACATCTGGCAAACAACTCTCTCAAGAAAGCCTAGGAACCTGATAAAGCCAATTTCCTTCATCTGAGGAATCTCTTACTCTATTTCCCTGCTTTACCAGGGTCCCTCATTATTTCCTAAGGAGAACTATGCTTTCAGGAAAAACTCTTGGCAGCAATGACTTTGTCTCCCTTTGCAGGGGAGAAAGGAGGAAAGCGAGTGACTCCACAGAAGCCAGGGAGAAAGCCCAAGTGTCTGGGCACTCAGGCATAGTTGGCAGCCTCACCCTCATGGTGCAGGGACCCTGATGTGAAACAGTATTACAGCACAGAGCAGGCTTCAGGACATCTGGATACTCCATGAATAAAACCACCAGAAAGCTGGTGAACCAGTCAAGTGAGGATGAGAAGAACACAGCTTCTGAAGGAACTGGTCTTCAGTCTTTCATGAGCAAAAGGGAACCACTTTCTCCATGACAGACCATTACTGAGCACGGTGTTGCATTCCAAAAACTGAGAAAGAGCTCAGGAGAGATTAGGCCCAGCAAGGGCAGCAGAGCACAAGAGCTCTTGGGGAAGCCGGATGCCCCCTAGGGACAAGCCTCTCAGCCAAAGAGGACAGACTCAGCCACAGCCCTCAAGGGATCTACATATGGCTACAAAAGCAAATTCCATCTGCACAGACAACCAGGGCGGCCCAATGCCACACTCACCGAATGTAGGAGTCTCTCTTGCCACACACTACACACAGGTTCTCTTTAACCATCAAGTAATAGTCTCCAGGAGATTCAGGCCTTCCTGCAGGTTCGAACCGTAGCTTCACCACAAAGGGTTCTTCACTCACCAGCTCTTAAGAGAAGAGACATCCGTGTTTGACTATTCCCCCTGTTCCCCGCTCCGCCCCGCCCAACAAGAAGCAGCACTACCTTCACTGTTCTCTGCTGTGTCCTGGTAGAGAACACAATTTCCGGGTTGTGCCTACCCAATCCCATGCATCTCAAGGTCTCCCTGCCTTCTTCTATCCCTCCCTCTTCCTTATCTCACTCCCCAATCCTCCCAGCATCCAATGCACCTAATTAAGAGATAAGCGAGGATAGCTGAATCTCATACCACCAATGCCTTTGTCCAGGTACCACTGAGCTTTTCTTCGATCACAAGTGCAGAGGGGCTGTCCATCAGGAGCATGGAGAAAGCAGTTATCATAAAGAGGTGATTTTCTGCAGGGAAGGGAATGAGAAATCTCAAACTGAAAGCTAATTGAGGGTCAAAATGTCTGTTGCCTTCCCATGCTCACTTCTGAGCAACTCAAACTATTCCCAACACTAAGGTCAAACACACCACTATGGAAAAAACAAACAGCAAGAAACCATGTTTAATCCTCCGCCTGCATTGGGATAGGGAACAGAACTAAAAATAAATTTGTTTCTGCCTCTAGTTTTTACACTTACAGACTCGGACATTAGGGAGTGAGTCGGGTGGTGTACACACAACTCTACTGTGAATGCAAAAAAGAAAGGAGCAACAAGAAAACTGCCAAATCATTGAGTTAAACAAAGTAAATTAAAAATTTAAAAGTTCAAGCCAAAGTAAGGAGGGCCATGTGGATTTACTTCTGACTCACATGCAATAACACTTCCTACAATTTAATCATCCAATTAATTCCTAAAGGCACTTTGCTACAGGGACGAAATTTTTGCTCCAAAGTACTTAGTCGTGTCTTCCTACAATAGAGGAATAGGTATACAGGAAATTTTTCATTGGCTAGAGAATAACATTTTTTTGGAGCTGGATGTCACTCTAAATAATCCAATAACATATGAACAAGAAATCAGATGATGCATTTCTCCTGAAAAGTATGAGGCACTACGTGTTATTTATTTTCACAGCTATCCTGAGACGAGACAGGAATGATATTTATACCCCCATTTACAGTTGGAGAAGTTAAGGCCTAAGGTCACATCAGAGTCAATGACAGAACTAAGCTAAGCTTTCCTCATTTTCACTCCAACTGTCAAAAGATAAAAAAGTAAAATAAGGGAAAAGAGAAAAATACACAAAAAAAGCAAAGGAGAGTCCAAATGTCTCCGATGGAAAGAAAAAGCAAGATTAACCCCTGGAGAGTTGCTGCGCCCCAACTACAAGCCTTCTCCCCAGACCCAAGGGAAGCATCACACCCTTCGCTAAGGCTGGGCCACTGACTCTTTACCAGACAGGGAGTGACTTGGTTACCTGGCAGAATAGCCCACCCCCAGGGGCTTTCTTTTATGTTTTCTGGGGTCTCTCCCTTGGTAGTTGCCTGGCACCATCCCATCCATCTTAGACTTCTTATTTCTTGGCTTCTGCTGAGATTCTGTTGCTTCCCCGTTAACCTCTTCTCCCAATCTGCTCATTCCTTTGCTTCGAAATGGGATGTCTACCACACCCTGGCATTTTTCCAAGACTTTTCTCCAGCCACTGTGGTCATCGTTTTTTTCTCCAGGTGAATTCCTAGAGAAAGGGTATCCAAGAAGATGAAGAAAGAGAGCCACTGAAATCTGGGCATCCCTGGCAGCATAAATTACCTGAAGAGAAAAGTCAGAGATCAGTGGAATCCGGAAGGCAAACCAGAGAGAGCAACTTCAAAGTCACCCACAAAGAAATAGATAACTCTTAGGATCCTAATTCAAAATGCATGACAACCTAGATACCATATACTTCCTTAACACTTTTTATTATAAAAGTTTTCAAACTATACAAAAGTCAATTGAATAGTATAATTAACTCTCGTGTTTCCTATGTTTTTAACTCAAATAGCTAAAATAATGACTTACTCTAAATGCTAGAAAATCCTCACCTATATAGTGAAGTTTCTATCTGCTACCAAATTGCTGGACAGATTTCTGTCAAGTTTGGGGGAAGGGTAGTTAACAAAGGCCTGAAAATTAGTACATGAAATTCACTTTGGAGGCAGTCATCCTCTGGGATAGTTGAAACCATGATTCATTAAGAGGCTTGTGTGACTGTCAATCAGAAATGACCTGCCATGTCTATTGAAAACAAAGAAAACAAATAAGTTTCAAACATGGGCCTCAAATCAAAGTCACTGGGCTCATTCCTAGAATTTATTTAATAGTGGTAAGTCATCCTCCTAAGCAACTGGTGTTAGGCAAGCTGGTCATAAAGAAAAGTACTGTGGGCCAGGAGCAGTGGCTCACCCCTGTAATCCCAGCACTTTGGGAGGCTGAGGTGAGTGGATCACCTGAGATCAGGAGTTCAAGACCAGCCTGGCCAACATGGTGAAACCCTGCCTGTACGAAAAATACAAAAATTAGCTAGGTATGGTGGTGTGCACCTGTAATCCCAGTTACTCGGGACGCTGAGGTAGGAGAATCGTTTGAATAAAGGTGGCGAAGGTTGCAGTGAACTCAGACTGTGCCACTGCACTCCAGCCTGGGAAACAGAGCAAGACTGCATCTCTAAAAAAAAAAAAAAAAAAAAAGTACTGTGGTCAAAGCTAAAATTAGGCCAGGCATGGTGCTCACGCCTGTAATCCCAGCACTTTGGGAGGCTGAGGTGGGTGGATAATTAAGGCCAGGAGTTCGAAACCAGCGTGGCCAACATGGTGAAACCCTGTCTCTACTAAAAATATGAAAAATTAGCTGGGCATGGCGGTGCACACCTGTAGTCCCATCTACTCAGGAGGCTGAGGCAGGAGAATGGCTTAAACCTGGGAGGCAAAGGTTGCAGTGGGCCGAGATCACGCCCTTGCACTCCAGCCTGGGCGACAGAGTGAGACTCCCTCTCACATAAAAAAACTAAAATTAATAGCTTTCCCCAACAAAAAGTGTAAGGACTTTTAAAAAATTCTATTAGTTGACCTTTAATAACCAAGGCAGTGAATAATTCTATTAGTAAGGATCATATATACTTTTAGAATAAAACAAGTTTGGATAAAATTTTCCACCTAGATCCAGAAATCTACATATCTATTAGCAGACTGTTTCCCACAGAAGAATGTGTCCTTGAATGCAAAGACTTCAGAGTATTCTTTAACACAATATTTTCTAATGATAAAGAAACAAATGGTACTAGGGCTGGAGGTCCACATACAAAAGAGTGCATGTGGACTCCTACCTCACATGACATACAAAAACCAATTTAAAATGGATTACAGACTTAAATATAAGAGCTAAAACCATATGACTTTTAGAAGAAAACATAGGAGTCGATCATCATGACCTTAGGTGAGGCAATGATTTCTTGAATATGGCACCAAAAGCATAAGCAATTAAAAGAAGAAATTTTAAAAAAGAAACTGATAACTGGAGCTCATCAAAATTAAAAACTATTGTGCTTCAAACAACCCCATCAAGAAAGTGAAGAGATGACCCACAGAATGGGAGAAAATACTTTATAGACTACGTATCTGAAAAGGATCTAAAATATACAAAGAATTCCTAAAACTCAAAAATAAAATAACAAATGACCCAATTAAACCATGAGCAAAGGATATGAATAGATATTTCTCCATGGAAGATATACAAATGGCCAACAGGCACGTGAACAGATGCCCAGCATCATTAGTCGCAAGAGAAATGTAAAAATCAAAACCACCATGAAATACTACTTCATACCTACTAGGATGGCTCTAATAAAAAAGACTGACAATAACAAATGTCAGCAAGGATGCAGAACACCAGCATCCTCATACACTGCTGGTGGGAATACAAAATTGTCTAGCTACTTTGGAAACTAGTTAACATCTCTCAAGGATGAACCTGTGGTAACTGACTCAGCAAACAAGATTGAAACTAGGCCTATGGAAGTGGTATGGCAAAAAGCCAAAGTTCAAATGGGTTTGAGCCACAGAGACCAGGAAAACATGAGGAATGGAGGCACCAGGTATCTGTGAAAGCAAGAGTGAAAACAGAAGGATAAGGTGAAATCTCCATAGTGAACACTTACACCCTGATCTCCTCCTTTCCAGCACAGGGCCAGACAACTATCCATTCCCTAGTCCAAAAGACAGTACAAGTTTAAATCATATAATGGTTAAACCGCAGAGGATCTGGACCGGGTAATACCAGGCACAACTGAAGGGAGGGACAAAATGTCACCTGAAGAAAGGGGGATTAAGGAAGAGACTACGCACTGAATGTTAAGACCACCAGCACCTTTCCCTGACTCAGAAACTAGAATATAGGCAGTGGGGCTCATTCTTCTTGAACAGAAGACTAGAAGATTCATCTCTGGAGAAACTAAGTCACCTGAGAGAAAAGACATAGTTACTGACTTTTTTTTTACTTCTCATGCTCCCTTTCTCAAGAAGCTGTTATAAATGTATTCTGCCAAGACAAGAAAGGAAAAAGACATGGAATTTAAAAAACAGAGATCTACTATGGAAGAGCGAGGTGAAGGGAATTCCCAGGCTGATGATAAATGCATATTCCAGGATGAGATTGGGCAGCAGGCCTAGAGCGTGGTCTGTCCTGGGAGGAGCCAGATGATAGAGGGCTCTAGGAAGGAAGGCTCCAAGGGAAAATGAACCAAATAGGTGACCTGACTTGAGTCTGAACCAGCCCAAAGGAGATCGTTAGTTCCTTACCCCAGGAAAGGAGTCTCAGGTGGAAACAACAGGTACATAGAACACTATGTAAACAAAATACTTAATCCTGGGGAACAAAAGTAACTGCAGTTTACCATGTGACTCAGTTATAAATAATATAAATACTAGATATTAACCTGATAAAAATAATGATTTACCTAAATTGGGAGGATTGGGAAAAGAAGTATTTGTCTGAAGGCAGGGGAGTTGCAAGAGTACTAAACCATATATTCCATAGTACAATGTCAAAAGACAATATATGTAAATAGGAAAGAATAATGCATGCATGTAATTTAGAAGTATAATGGTAATTACCAGAAAGACATGAAAGTGGTTGCTTCTGAGAAGAAGAAGAAGGATTAGGAATGGGGAAAGATAATGCAGGGAACTAATTACTGCTTCTTAAAAGAAGTTTTAACTCCTTCTCATTTATAACGCTATGATTTTTTTAAATTATGCTTTTGTATTCATAAAAAAATTCCTTTTTCCGAAATGCCCAACATAAGAAATGCTCAAAAAAATCAGGACTCCTGACTGGGCTTGGTGGCTCACACCTGGAGGCTGAGGTGGGCGGATGATTTGAGGTCAGCAGTTCAAGACCAGCCTGACCTCAGGTTTCAACATGGTGAAACCCCTTCTCTATTAAAAATACAAAAAATATAAGCTGGATGTGGTGGCACACATCTGTAATCTCAGCTACTCAGGAGGCTGAGGCAGAATTGCTTGAACCTGGGAGGCAGAGGTTGCAGTGAGCCAAAATCGTACCACTGCACTCCAGCCTGGGTAACAGAATGAGACTCCATCTCAAAAATAAAACAACAACAGGACTTATCTTTTATTTAAGTGATTACTGTAGACCAGTTAGCTGGACTATCACCAGATAATGAATCTATTTTAAGGCATCTCCATCCAATACTTATACTATATTTGAGAATTTGAATTTCAAAAAGTTATACTTCAGAAGCAATAACTTTCCATTCATCATCTACCCTGATAATAAGTACCTGGTCCTCTGTAAGAGTCTCAGCATCCCAGTTGCTGCAACGAAGTACAAGGGACTTGTCAAGGGAAAAGTTCAAAACAGTCTCAGCGAGGGATTTCAGGCTAAGCCCATTACTGAGTAAATTTTTTCTAAAAGGAAGAAATAAGTAAAACCGTGCATCAAAAATGGGCAAAGGACATGAACAAGAAAATTTTTAAAAGGCATATAAATAGCCAATAAACAGAGATAACAGATACTCAATCTCACTAGACATCAAAGAAAATGACAATCTGTTATCTATTTGTGAAACGCTATTTATAAATCCTTTACGTAGTTTAATTCATTTAATACTCACACCAACCCTATGAGGTGGCCACATTATAATCTCTATGGATGAGGAAACTGGGGAACAGAGAGGCTTAGTACTGTGTCAAAAGTCATACAGTTGGAAAGTGGCAGTACTGGGACTCCTACCCATGCAGTCTGCTCCTGGGTCAACTTTTAGCCTCTGTCCACACTGCCTCTAACAGCACACAGTGACAGTGGTACCTCTGGGGAGCTGGTGCCAAAGAAAGCTGATGAAAGGAGGCTTTTACTGTTATATTCCATAGACTTTCACAGAGTTTTAATTTTTATAGCAATATCTTAATGAATTACTTTAAAAATTATACTTCATTTATAAGAGCTTTCTATAAGCCAAACTAACAAACTAAAATAAAATTTCATTTTATACTAAAAAACTGTGATATTCAGGATACACACCAGAGGGGGGGAAACTGTGATAAACAAAGATTTTAATCCGGACTTCTCTTAGTTTACCAAATCTCCAAATTTTTAGTGACCATGTCACTTCAGGCAAGGCAAGAGGCTGTTTCGGTCCATGTTGTTATAAGCAAGGATCTGTACATAAACGTGAGGAGGTAATTATGAGGCCCCACCCCTAAAAGCCAAGCTGAAATCAAATTTCCATAGGAATAAAATTCTAAAGGAAATGGAAATCTCTCTTCCTCCCAAATAAGGGCTGGTCTACCATCAGTTTTGGCCTAAAGCAGGGTCTACAAACTCAAAGGTTTATCAGAAGGAGCCAGGGTTACAATGGTAGCGAAAGGGACTCTAAGCAAACCGAACAGAGTAGTTCATCTAAAGGGCACAAATGCTACCCAGCCAAATGCTGCCATCTAGAACTGTAGACTCAGTGTAGTCAGATCACCTAATTTTTCAAGAGAAGCCAGAAATACAGATTTTTACATTGAATCTTTTTGATTTAAATAAAAATTTCCCAAAATATAATTCAGGAAAAAAGAAAAACAAAAAACCTTTGCAGCCATAATTTAGCCACTGGGACCACCAGCTTTTAGCCTGTAGCTTACAGAGATACCTCATTAATGTTTCATCTAAAAAGACCAATTCTAGGTAACTAAAGTCTCACAGAAGTTGGAATGGCTCTTCACAAATTCAATATGCATCTCAGAAGCCTCTAGGCTCCTATGCAATTTCACATGTTTCACTACTGATTCCCAGGCATCTATAAATCTTGCTAAAATATTTGTCCCACAGCTACAGGAATCCCAGCATTCATACAAACCACACCTCTGCCACATGGCAAGGTATCGGAGGTCCAGGCACCCCCTAACAACGAGGCCATAATCCTGCAGAAGCTTGCTGGCATCTTCTGAGCATCCCACTCCAACTTTCAAAATGGTGCCATCTGCCAAAATATCCAGTAACGTTCTTGGTAGTGTTTTTCCTCCACAGATTAGCTTGGGCAAGCGAATCAAGACACAGAGGCCACTTGGGGAAGCCATTTGTAGAAGTGACAGAGGGCTGGCTCTGCCTTCCAAATTTACCTGCAACAGAAGAAGACAGGGTTGTGGTTCACACCTTAGCACAGCAGCAAGCACAACATATAACTGTGACAAATAGGCAAACTGAGTTGTCTTTAATGTTTCTAGATTGCGCTTAAGATCCAATATACTATAATCAAAGTTTTCTCAACTAGGAATCCAAATGTTTATGATTCCACTAGGTACATAACTTATACTGAATAGATAATTGGAAGAATAACGTTTCCAAGAGAGTCAATTCGGCTTAAAGAATAAGATACCTAGTCTTTATTTCTCATATTTCTCCTTTTGCTTTTTAATGTTTTTTTTGCCTTGACATCACTACTCATGGAAAACATGAAAACCCTGTCCTATGAACATTATTAAAAAGTGACATGCTTTAATTTCATTAGCATTATTTAATCCAGTCATCTTTTTAGCATTATTTAATCTAGGGTTTTTTAAATTAGTCAACATATCTAAAAATGTTTGAGACATATACTGTATATATTTATAAATTACACACATATACTGTATTAATGTGTTATATTATTATATATACACAAAAGTACAAAGTTTAACTGAATAGTACCAACAATCATTATAGATAAAATTTCTAACACTCTTTGCTGTTTCAGTGATTCATTTAGAGAATGTTGGGTTAGAGGTCCTCCTTCTAGGAGCCAGGGGATAATCCATTTTGGCTTCAGTATTCTTAAAAACTAGTTTCCGGAATGGCCAGAGATTCTTTAAATGACCTCACGAAGGCAGCAGAGAGTAAAGAATGACATGGGGCCATCTTTTGGGCTGGAACAGATTAACTAATGAGCACCCCTAGTCTGTGGAGTTCATGTATCGGTTAAGTTTAGACCAGGGTTTTGAGATAGGAATGAGTTTACCCTCTTCAAGCAACAGAATTATGGCCCAATGTGGCTAGACACTGATAAGAGTAGGATGGGAAGAGAGGAGGAGACAAAATCAGAGATGCTGAAAGAAGCTACAGCAAGTCCTTAAGAACATGTAGGTAACTGAGACATCTGTGTTTCATTCTAAGCAATGGAAGGGTTTTAGGCAGAGGACTGATAAAATCTGATTTGCATTTAAAAAATATTTTGGTTACTGTATGGAGAAAGGATTGTACGTTTGCAAGAGTCAAAGCAGGGAAGCTAGTCAAAAGATTTGCAATAGTCCAGATGAAAGATTCCGGAGGCTTGGAATAAGGAAGTAGTAGAGGTGTGATATAGTTCAGAACTGTGTCCCCACCCAAATCTCATGCTGAATTCCAATCCCCAATGTTGGAGGTAGGGCCTGGTGGCAGATGACTGGATCATGAAGGCAGAGTTCTTATAAATGCTTTAGTACCCTTCCCCCTTGGTACTGTATACTGAGTGAATTCTCACAAGATATGATTGTTTAAAAGTATATGGTGGCTCATGCCTGTAATCCCAGCACTTCGGGAGGCCAAAGTGGGCGAATTTGATACCAGTCTGGGCAACGTGGGGAAACCCCATCTTTACAAAAAGAAAGAAAGGCTGAGTGTGGTGGCTAATGCCTGTTGTAATCCCAGCACTTTGGGAGGCCAAGGCAGGTGGATCACCTGCGGTCAGGAGTTTGAGACTAGACTGGCTAACATGGTGAAACCCCCGTCTCTACTAAAAAAATTACAAAACTAGCCAGGCATGGTGGTACATCCCAGCTACTTGGGAGGCTGAGGCAGGAGAATCGCTTAAACTGGGGAGGCAGAGGTTGCAGTGAGCCAAGATCACACCACTGCTCTCCAGCCTGGGCAACAAGAGCGAAACTCCATCTCAAACAAATAAATAAATAAAGCAAAAATTAGACAGGTATGGTAGTGTGCGCCTGTAGTTCCAGCTACGCCAGAGGTTGCAGTAGGAGGATCACTTGAACCTGGGAAGTGGAGTGCAGTGAGCCAAGATCACACCACTGCACTCCAACCTGTGCGACAGAGACCCTATTAAAAAAAAAAAAAAGTGTGTGGCACCACCCCTTCTTGATCCTGCTCCTGCCATGTAAGACGCCTGCTCCCGCTGTGCCTTCCACCATGAGTAAAAGCTCCCAGAGGCAGCACCAGCAGCAGATGCTGCCATACTTCCTACACAGCCTGCAGAACCATAAGCCAATTAAACCTCTTTTCTGTGTAAATTACCCAGTCTCAGGGTTTTTTTTAATAGCAGGGAAAAAATGGACTAATACATGGAATCTATAGGATGATGGTGTTGGAAAAATCCCTAGCTCAACCTTTATTGCACCAATTATTTGTACCTGTTACGCAAGGAAATACATAGCCAGAGTCTCCAGAAAGGACCAGGCAGGAGTCAGGGGACCAAAAAGGTATTTAATGTCTCCACCCACCTCAGGAGAAGGGCAATAATAGCTTCTAAAACATGGCAGAATATTCATTTTGAACAGGTGATTTATCCATAGTTACACATCACTATGGGTAACTCAAAGAAACCTATACCTCTTTGTGATAGCATGCTATGTTATTTCCTGCTTTGTATAACCACTTATTTGAATTTGCATATATTTTGCCATTAAAGAAATGTAGCATGTTATAACTGCCTGTTTATTTCTGACTTTCAATCATAACATCCAGTTGGACAACTCTTAGGGAGAAGAACGTCTCGCTGATTTTAATCTTAAAGGTGGGGAAGACTAGAGATAACAAGTTTGGGAAGAAAAATCAAGAATGAGTTCTGTTAGAAACATGTTAAGTTTGAGATGACTATTAGACATTCAAGGAGAGATGTTAAGTAGGCAGGTGGATATGAAAGGCTGGCATTCTGATTTTGAGAGCAATTACCATATCAATGATATTTAAAGTCATATAATTGATGAGAATACAAGAAAAGAATGTAAATTAGAAGACATAAATTAGTGGCCCACGGATCCATCTGCTGACTCACAGACATGCTTTTATTATAATACTATTTTTGGTCTCCATGTATTTAAAAACTTATGCCAGAATTTTTAAATTAGTAGAGTTCACATTTTTTAAAAATCCATACTCCAAGTTTCTTTTTAAAGAACTGGACAATCCAGTAACAGTTGGCTTAACTATATGGCAGCTTTCTCATTTATACGAGGCATGAATTCTCTAATTCACCATAATGTCTTTTCAACTGAAGCCAACTGTTATCTTCCACTAACCATCATATTTGTATACCACTATTTTTCCAATACAAAGAAATATTTCTCAGGATCCATGTTGCTAATAAAACTACAAAAATGAAAGATAGATCCTAGAAGCATTATGTTTAAAGAAAAAATGAGAGGGGATATATTTCCTTATGAATTTAAGAACATTCCTATGTATTAGAAAATGCAAACAATCACTCTATATCATTCATTTAAATCACCTGTTTGGCTCTTGTAGGCATCTGAGTTTGCAATATCTGGGGTGGATACAGAAGAGACCAAGCCTGAGCCATTTCGATATTTAGATATCAGGTAAAACAGGAATCAGAAAAGGAAAAAGTAGAAAGAATAATATGATAGGAGACAGAAGAATGTGAGTGTGATGCTTTTGAGAGCTAGAATAATGAGTCCAAATAAGTGTTCACTGGACTGGAAAACAAGAAAGCCATCAACTTGATCAGTTTCAGTGTAGTCACATGAAAAGATGTCAGATTAAAGTTGGTTGAAGAATAAGAAATTATACCCAAGAAAACAGGGAAATAAACAATAGAAATAAGAGCAGAAATCAATGAAATAGAACACATATATAAAGAATATCAACAAAGCCAAAAGTTGGTTATTTGAAAAGACTAATAAAATTGATAAACCCATGGAAGAAATTATCAGGAAAAAAGAGAGAAGCACAAGTAAGCAAAGCCAGGAATGAAAAAAGAGACATTTCCTAGTTACCCACCAAACAGGAAAAAAATTGTCAGAGGATATCATAAACAATTACATGCCAATAATTTTTTTTGGAGGCGGAGACAGTATCTCATTCTGTTGTCCAGGCTGTAGTGCATGGCATCATCATAGCTCACTGCAGCCTTGAACTCCTGGGCCTACCACCTTAGCCTCATGAGTATCTGGGATTCCAGACTCACGCCACCTTGCCAAGCTAATTTTTTAAATTTTTTGTAGAGACAGATTCTCATTGTGTTGTTCAGGCTGGTCTCAAACTCCTAGCGTGAAGTGATCCTCCCATCCCAGCCTCCCATAGTGCTGGGATTACAGGAATGAGCCACTATGCCTGGCTTATGTCAACAATTAAAAATTTTGAAAGACGACATATTTAGATGATAGATGAAATATATAATTTATCAAAACTAAGCTATTAAGAAAGAGAATACATGAATAGCTCCATAACTATTCAAAAAATTATATCCATAATTCAAAAACTTCCCTTAAAAGAAAACTCCAGATGGCTTCACCAGTAGATTCTAACTAAACATTTAAAGAAAAAACAATGACAATCTTATACAAACTCTTCCAGAGAACATAAAAATAGGAAACACCTTAACTTGTTGTATGAAGCTAGCCTAACTTTTAAAAATCAAAACCTGACAATATCCAAGCACAGTGGCTTACACCTGTACTCCCAGTACTTTGGAGGCTGAGGCAGGATTTGAACTCAGGAGTTTGAGACCAGCCTGGGTAACATAGCGAGACCCCTATCTCCACACACAGAAAGTTCAAAATTATCCATGCATGGTGGTGTGCACCTGTGGTCCTAACTCCTTGGGAGGCTGAGGTGGGAGTGCTTGAGCCCAGGAATTTGAGGATGCAGTGAGCTACGACTGAGCCACTGCACTCTAGTCTGGGTGAAAAGACAATTCTGTCTCCTTAAAAAAAAAAAAAAAAAAAAATATTGGGTGCAGTGGCTCATGCCTGTAATCCCAGCACATTGGGAGGCCGAAGCAGGTGGATCACCTGAGGCTGAGTTCAAGATCAGCCTGGCCAACATGGTGAAATCCTGTCTCTATTAAAAATACAAAAATTAGCTGGGTGTGGTGGTGCACACCTGTAATGCTAATTACTCGGGAGGCTGA